AGTTTTCTCATTAACATTTTGAGCTTTTTGTGCAATGCAAGGGTTTTCTCAACCCTCCACCCCCACGCTTCAACACCAAAACGTGGATCATGGGAGGGGGGGTGAGCAATTATTACTACAAATCTTATTATCAACATCTTTTTTTTACTATTATCAGCATGATAACCCCTAAGCCCCTTAAACGTTGCAGGGTGTAGGCAGTGCGGAGGCCTGTGGCAAAGTCTTCGGAGAGCAGTGGCCAAAGAGAAACGAACTGGTTCTTCGCGTATCTCCAGGAGAAGCGATTTACATGAAGATGTCGGCAACTGGGATGCAAAAATCATGAACAAAATGGAGCTGCAATATTATATTGGGGTTATATGGGATAATACAAAGCAAAATGGAAACTACCACAGTATATTGGGGTTATATGGGGCATGGACACTCGCTTTGCTTCCCTTGTCCTGGGCGGCTGTCAGGGAACGTAAAAGATAGCTATCATAGGATGGGCATATAGCAAGTATTATCATTTTCGTGTAGTGGCAACTTGTTCTAAGTTCCTCAACCGCCTTAAACCCTACACCGTAACCGTGCTGTATAGACTCCCCCAAACTAACATGGAAACTCATATAGTCCCCTTTTAGAAGGACTGTAGTCTTTATAGGGCCTTCGTCAGGTTTCCATGTTAGTTTCCGGGAGTGTAATTTTCCCCAAGCTAAACCCTAAGGGGCTCAGAGGTACTAGAAGGTTCAAGGGACTTAGTCCCCGAAGTGGGCTTCTCCATGTAGGATAACCGCTATTATAAGTAGGGTTGTAAGCCCAGCTATTTATAGCTACGAAGTCTCATGAACCTCCAATTAGTACCCTAAACCCATCCCTGAACCCTAAGGCCAAAACCCTAAACCCTAAGCCCTAAACTATAAACCCTAAGCCCAAAAGTTTTGGGAACCAAGGTTAAGTCTCCTGGCCTTTCCATGCAGCTTATGCAAAGCAACTTGGGCAGCTCAAGGGGAAGGGGGTTCACTTGTGACTT